TGGTTATCAGTCCCTTATCTGAGGCATAGTTTGCAAAAACATTCTCCCATTCCAAGGGTTGTTGATTTGCACTAATTACTGTATCCTTGGCTGTGCAGAAACTTCTTAATCTGATGTAATCCCACTTGTCTATTTTGGGAATTATTGCTTGTGCTTTGGGGGTCTTATTTAAGAAGTATTATGAAGAAATGCTCAACATCCTTCATCACAAGGGAGATGCAGATCAAAACCACAATGAGATAATATGTAACGTCAGTCAGAATGGCAAAGGTTAAATATACAAAAAATAATAAGTGTTGGCAGGGTTGTGGTGAGAGGGGAACTCTCCTACATTGTTTGTGGGAATGTAAATTGGTATAGCCATTGTGAAAAACAATATGTATTTTCCAGGGGACCAGCAGTTAGCGTAATGGCTATGTTGCTGGACTCCCACGTAGTCGACCATGGTTCAAGTCTGGACCCGGTGACTTAAACTCATGCCGGGCGCGTGTGCATGCGTGCCCAAGATCCAGAGAGGAGAATGGAGGAGAAGGGATTGTGGCATGGCCATCCTCTGGGTGGGGGGGGGGGGGGGGGTGTGATTTCTCGCTTTCTGTCTCTGTCTCTGTCTGGCGAGCGCACGCGCCCTATAGCAAAAACCTCTCAAAAATAAAAAAAGAAAAATGGAGTTTCCTCAGAGATATATAAATAGAACTACCTTGTGATCAGTAATTCCACTCCTGGGTATCTACCCAGAGGACAGGAGAATGCTCAGTCAGAAAAGTGTTTGCACATCAATGTTTATTGCGGCATTATTCACGATTGCTAAGACATGGAACCAACCCATATGTCCATGAACAGATGAATGGATTAAAAAAGTGTGGCATATATACTCTATGGAATACTATTCAGCTATAAAAAAATAAAACAAAAAACAAATCCTGACATTTGATAAAATGTGGTTGAATATGGAAGATTCATTGCTGAGCGAAGGAAGCTAGGCTATGAAAGAAAGATATTGTGTGTCTCTCTATTTAATATATACTGACTGTCCACTCTCTATGGTAGAGACATAAAGATTGATATAAAAGCTTTGAAAATAGTTATGGAGACTGGAGACAGTATGGTAGGAGGGTGGGAAAGGGGAATAGTATAGGGAAGGAAATTGTGGGGGAGGGGGGGATAGAGAGGCAAGATATTTGTAATGTTAATGGGACACAGTAATGGTTTATTACCTGTTGATGATAATGTGTATAGCATTCCCAGCTGGACTGGCCTGAGTTGTATTTCGTGTTGGGTAAACTCTCTTTGCAAGCCAAATTATGTATAGCAGTCAAATGTGTAAAAATAATAATAATAAAATTGAATTTAAAAAGGATAGCTGAAAACTTTCAGTTTGAGGAAAGCAGTCAGAGAAATGTTGCATTACTTCCTTGGAGACATTCTTAGGTACATTAAAAGCATTTAAAAATGTGTAGATGCGGAATCATCTATTACCACAGTTATCTAGGTTGGCATTGAATAAAAAAAGGTTCCATTTAGGTTTTGGCTAATTTTGCCTTCATTTATTGTTACTACTTTATATAACTATTGGGTCCTTAAAAAAGTCGTTACATATTTTTGCATAGAACAAAAAAAGTCCGTTGTGACTTTTCCGATGACCCAGTAGATTGCAGCTAAGAAGTTTTACCAGAAGTGGGAACCGGCAGTTAGCGTAATGGCTATGTCGCTGGACTCCCACGTAGTCGACCGCGGTTTGTGTCCCGGACCCGGTGACTTAAAACTCACGCCGGGCACGTGTGCGTGTGTGCCCAAGATCCCGAGAGGAGAATGGAGGAGAAGGGATTGCAGCGTGACCATCCCCCCTGGGGGTGATTTCTCACTTTCTGTCTCTATGTCTCTCTCTGTCTGTCTGGCGAGCGCACGTGCCCTACAGTGAAAATCTCTCAAAAAAAAAAAAAAAAAAAAAGTCAGAGGTTCGCAACCAAGTGAGGTACAGCGATCGAATGTTTAAAATAATAAAAAAAAATTTAAAAAAAAAAAAAGAAGTTTTACCAGAAGTCATAATAATGATAGTCATCATTGTTGCTCTGGCAGCTTATAATATGCAAAGCACCTGAATGTATTGGCTCTTTAATTCTCATAATAACTTTATAAGATAAATATTATGCTCCCCTTTCTACCAAAAAAGCAAGCAAAACTGAAGTTTGCAAAAACCGCACTTGTTCATTATAGCACTATGTGATTTTCACATTAGTTTTAAGACCTGGCTATAAATATCCTACTTGGATGGATTTGTGAGAAGTTGCCATCAAGGTTTCATGAACTTAAATACAAAGGGGATTATGTATATATATATATATGAAAAAAATATATATATATACACACACACACATAATCCCCTTTGTATTTAAGTTCATGAAACCTTGATGGCAACTTCTCACAAACCCATATTATGTGTGTGTGTATATATATATATCTAATATACATAATATGTATACATATATGTACACATGTATATATATACATACATACACATGTGTGTACGTGTATGTATTTAGAGATTTTTGCTGTAATGCATGTGCACTTACTTCCAGACAGACAGACAGAACATGAGAAATCACCTCCCAAGGGGGGACGGCCACACCACAATCCGTTCTTCTTCCATTCTCCTCTCAAGATTTTGGGCACGCATGCACACATGCCCAGCATGGATTTCGAGCTGCCAGGTCTGGAACTCGAACTGCGGTCGGCCATGTGGGAGTCCAGTGCCTTAACCTCTATGCCACCTACTTGCTCCAAGGATTATATATTTTTTAACTATAAAGATGAGATTTTTTAGTTGAATTTTCAACTACAGTTTATCACTCTTCAGCCTAATTTAGCAAAATATTTGTATTCCTTTCTATCCCACCTAAAATTTCATTGTATTCTTCGAAACTAAACTGTTTCAAAACATTAACTAGGAAATGTTTGGGTTCTGGCATCTTAGAAGTTACAGCCCAGTAAAATTGCAAAGCATAGGAATAATTTCAGTAGAGGCAGACGATAGAGGTGTTGAAACTGTGGAGTCCAGAATCACCTGTAGGCTGGAATCCCAGCTGTATCACATATTTTGGGCAAATCCCATAATGCCTGCATGCTTAGTTTCCTCACATATAAAATGAGTAACTACGTATTTCATAGAGCTTTCTAGGTTTAAATGAAATAATGAAGTTAAGCTCTTGGAACAGTGCCTGGCACTAACAGAGCTGAATGTTAGCTGCTGATGGTAGCAGTGACAAATAGTAGTTATAGCTATTTTTAACTACTAGATCAATTATATGTTAGTATCTTGTGTTTAGCAGAAAAGATTATGAGTAAATCAAAATGTGAGCACCACTGTTTTAAGAGAATCCTGGATACTCATACTTGTAGGGGTCCAGTTTCACTTCATAGCAAATGTTTGCAGATATAGTTATAGCTCATATTAAATAGTTTACATGGAACTTCAAAGAAATGGGTTAATGTTTAGCTAACTGTCTTAGTTTGTTTTGATCTACTATAATAAAATACCTCAGACTGGATCATTTATAAAAAACAAATATTTATTTCTCATAGTTTGGGGGTTTGAGGAGTCCAAGATTGAAGTGCCAGCTTCAGGTGTGGGCTTTCTTGCTGTCTTCACTGGCAAGTCTTTTTCTTTTTTTTTTTTGGAGAGGTTTTTGCTATAGGGCGCATGCACTCGCCAGACAGACAGAGAGAGAGACAGAGAGACAGAAAATGAGAAATCACCCCCCAGGGGGGATGGTCACGCCACAATCTCTTCTCCTCCATTCTCTTGGGATCTTGCACACATGCCCAGCGTGAGTTTAAGCCACCAGGTCCAGGACTTGAACTGCGGTCAGCTACATGGGAGTCCAGCGACGTAGCCATTACGCTAACTGCTGGTCCCCACTGACAAGTCTTAGAAGAGAAGGGAATCCACTCCCAGAATCCCTTTTCATAGAGGCTTTAATCCATTCATGAGGGCAGATCTCTCATGACCCGGCACACCCCACAAGGCCCCACTTGACAACACTGTTGCATTGGGAGTAAATTTCTAACATAAGAGTTTTGGAAGGACAAAAATATTCAAATCAACCCAGCTCCATGGAGCAATGGAATGTACTTCTCAAGAGCGGCTGGATCCCACATGGTGACCATGTTTCAAATCCCCAGCCCAGTCTACTTGAAATGTGCTGGGCATACACGTGAGTGCCCAAGGTCTGACAGGCTGCAGGACCAGAAGAGGGGGGCCATCATGTTGTAGGCTGCAAGACTGGAAGAAGGGGATCACATAGGAGGCTGCAGGACCAGAAGAGAGGGATCACACTGTAACCAAACCCTGTGGACAGCCAATCTCTGTCTCTGTCTCTCTCTCTCCCCCCCTCCTCCCTTTTCCCTCCTTTTCTCCCTCCCTCCATCTCATGCATTGGCTATTTGGTATAATACTACGTTTTGTGGAAAATTAAATACTAATTTTGATTTTGTAGGGGTTTTTTTGCCCTCCTGAGATCAAAGAAATGATGAAGCATGACCTAGAATTCTGCTCTGGCTTAGAACCAAAATTTTCCAAGAGAAAAGATGGAAATATTGTTTCCTCACCTTGAAGGAAGTGCTGGAGGCCACTTTAAAATCTTATTTAAGAGGCCAGCGGGTGGCATGGTAAAGCACTCCCACATAGCTGACTGCAGTTCGAGTTCTAGACCTGGTGGCTTGAAACTCAACACCAGGCATGTGTACATGTGTACCCAAAATCCCAAGAGGAAAATGGAAGAGAAGGGGTTGTGGCATGACCAATCTCCCCCCTGTGGGGTGATTTCTTACTTTCTCTCTGTTTCTCTCTGTCTCTACGGCAATCACACATGCCCTGTAGCAAAAACCTCTCTCTCTCAAAAAAAAAAAAAAAATCCTTATTCAAATTGAAGTGTCTTTTACTAAAATAAACACCTCAGAATGCTCAAAATTCTTAAGCTGATGAGTCTCTTTTCTTTTCTTAGACTGTGGTTTGAATGTTCATAAGCAGTGTTCCAAGATGGTCCCTAACGACTGTAAACCAGACCTGAAGCATGTGAAGAAGGTGTACAGCTGCGACCTGACCACGCTGGTGAAGGCGCACATCACCAAGCGACCCATGGTGGTGGACATGTGCATCCGGGAGATCGAGGCCAGAGGTGAGGCCCTGCGGGCACCGTCCCCAACCCTCAGGGGCCTCTCGCGGAGCCTGCGGGTTGTCTTCTGTAATCTTTGGGGGGAGCAGTTTCACAGGTCAAGTGATCTCAAGAACTGAGACGAATTGATTTAACAGGTAGTTAAACCACATCATTTCAAGGTACATTTAACCAGTTACAGAAAATATGCTTAAAAATGTATTGTAGATAGATGATGCCTCCAGGCTGCAAAAGTTGACATGTTGCTGAAACACTCAGTTTTCAGTTTCCATGTTTTTACTTAGGAAGCAGAGACATAGCTGCACTGTTAAAGCTTTCCCAAGCCAAAACGGGGTGGCCACACTGCAGCCCCTCTCCTCCTGGGATCTTGGGCACACACACGTGGGCCTGGTGTGATTTTCAAGCCACCAGGTCTGCACCCTGATTATTTTTTCCCACTTAGGAAAAACGGCTCCGGTCCAGTTAATATAGTTTATCTTATTCTACTGTTATGTAAAGAATTTATGGGTAATTGGGGTGATGAATTATTTCCCTTGAGGCTGAACATGTTTGATTTAATTAGGCAGAATGGTGGACCAAATTATAAATATTTAGGTGACAATCAGTTAAAGAACTGTGAGTGAAATGGTTTTATTTCAGGAGAAAGGTGTGACAAGGTATCTAAATATGTATATTTCAGTATTCTTTTTGACACATTCCCTCCTAGCCTGAAGTGTGGAAAGAAGTTAAAATTTGGAGAAAAGGCATATTCCAAAGAAACTAATTAACTCTCATGTCTTATTTTTATAGGTCTTAATTCTGAAGGACTATACCGAGTATCAGGATTCAGTGACCTAATTGAAGATGTCAAGATGGCTTTTGACCGAGGTATGTACTTCTGTGTGTTCACTAAAAATAATACTCTTTGTCAAAAAAGGCACAATTTATTAATTATTTGCATTATTTTTCTAAATCATTGATTATTATACCAACTAAAGAGACTTAGCTTATAGTTTTATATTTTCATGTTAATTGTAAATACTAAGCTGTTTCAAAGTGAGAAAAAAGCATAAAACTTAACTATATTATCAATACTTTAGTACCCAAGGCTACTCCGCAATCAATGAAGAATATACAGAGCAGTTCCATTTGCCAAAAACCACAGAGACAAGGAGAAGGGCCCAAATCTAAATCAGTGGTGATCCCAGGTTCCCCGGGCATGGCCATCTCTGACGAGCTGAGACCTGTTCTGCTGCCCGTGTGGGTGCCAGAAAGCTGAGTGGAGCTGGGCACCTTCCGCCACTGAGGGAGGAGGGGTCTGGTCAGTGAAAAGCTGGTGGGCATTTTTTTTTTTTTATGGGAATTTTTTTTTTTGTGAACTAATGCTTAGATTAAAATTTGTCTCTATGGTTCTCTAGTTGGTCTTAAAGTACTAGACACTAATTAAATCATTAGTAGATGAAATTTCAGATATTTGACAAAGTGAAGTACTAAATGCAGAGGTCATTCTGAAGGAAATCCAGCTTTGTTTGACAGTCTTACGGCCCAGCCCCTCTAAAATATTCTTCTGTTTTATAATGCCTTCTTGTTATCCCAGTACTCTAAAGTTTTGTTTTGCTTATTTACTTCTTATTACCTCCCCTACCTTCAGTGCTCAGGTAAGATCCAAATATTATGTGCAGGCACCTGGACCGAAGCAAAGGGGACCTTCTGTGGTAGTCTTTTGTCAGTTGAGAGTCTCTTTGGTTTTTTCCTTTTATATATATATAGGTTTTTGCTATAGTGTACCTGCACTCACCAGAGAGACAAAGGCAATGAGAAGGAAAGTAAGAAATCACTGCCCATGGGGGATGGCCACACTGCAGTCCCTTCTCCTCCTGGGTTCTTGGGCACACACACATATGGGCCTGGTGTGATTTTTTTTCAAGCCACCAAGTCTGGGACTTGAACTGCTGTCTGCCATGTGAGAGTCCAACAATATAACCCCTATACCATCTGCTTCCCCCCCCCTTTGTTATTTTTCAAAGCCATAAGAAATTCCCTGGAAATTCTTCTCTAGAATTCTTTCAATGAAATTGAAAGATAGTTCTACTGACCTCGGTCCTCTCCTGTTTATCCCTCTCCCCATAATTAGTCATGGAAAAATAAGTAAGCTAAGGACAGAAAATTTGAGTGGTGGTTGAGGTGCTGGACTCCTATAGGGTCAACCACAGTTCAAGTCCCTGATCTGACAGCTTGGGAATCATGCTGGTGTGCTTGCTCAGAGTTCCAGGAGGTGAATGGGGAAGAGAGAATTGCGGCATGGCCCTATCCCCTGGGGAATGATTGAGTGTACATGCCCTATGGCAAAAGGAAAAGGAAAAGAAAAAATAAATAAATAGAAAATTTGAAAAACTATTTTTCTAATTCACTGAAGATAGATCATATGTAACATGTAGCACACTGAATTTGATGTAAAAAATAGAATCATTAATTTTAAAAATCTGAGTATATACAAAAATATCTCTTAAAACAGTGTTGTAAATACAGATATTTACTTTTGTTTCTTTAACATCCTTCCAAGATGGTGAGAAAGCAGATATTTCTGTGAACATGTATGAAGATATCAACATTATCACTGGTGCGCTTAAACTGTACTTCAGGGACTTGCCAATTCCACTCATTACATACGATGCCTACCCTAAGTTCATAGAGTCTGCCAGTAAGTACGAGTGCATGCGTTCCCAAACCTGACAGTCCTCCTCCTCCTGGTAATTACTTTTGCTGGTGTTCCTGCTG